CAAGGTATGTGAGGCTATCCCTTTCCTTCCTTTGCACGACTCCGATTGTACATAATGTAATGAACGAGCTTCCAAAGATACTCTACTCTTAGAAGCTAGCAGTACTTACATTGTTTCCCCTCTTATGGAACGATTGATGTTGATGTTGCTTCTCTTATTCTTATGTTATCAATGTTATTGGTACTTCCTGATTCTTATAAGGTTCATGGTGAAAAGTTAGTCCTAATAACGTGTACAGAGGATACCGACCTTACGTCACTCCGAAAGGTTTAGAACGTGAGTCCATGAGTCGAGCATGCATTATATATATGTATCTATTTTACTCTACCGAGCCGCGCTATAGTCGGCCGGGTACGACACCTATTGTGCAACCATTGATCAGTTGGGTTTTACCGAGCTCCACGTGGCCGGGTACGTCTTTACCGAGCCTATTACGGCCGGGTACGATATGATGATGATGATGCCCACAGAGGCGTATGTTTTAAAAGTTTATGTATATATACATATGTATCACGCATTTCATGTCAGTAGCCTTAGAGGTACCCAGATGTTACAGGTTGTTTATTCTCTATCACTGCTTACATTACTGTTCGTACTTATGGTTCCCTGCCTTACATACTCAGTACTTTATTCGTACTGACGTCCTTTTATTTATGGACGCTGCATGTCGTGCTGCAGGTCCTGATAGACAGGCAGGCGCAGCTCCCCCACCGTAGTAGGCTGTCCAGTTCAGCGGTGATTGGCGAGATCCCTTCTTCGGACTTGCCTTGGTCTTGGTATGCATTTTTGTTATAGATATTATGGGTATGTCGGGGCCCTGTTCCGGCTATGTTGCAACACTTATGTTCCTTTAGAGGCTCATAGACAGGTGTCGACTCATGTATAGTTTGGTAGGCCTTGTCGGCTGGTTTTTGTTGTATAGTCTCTCATGGTAGTGTGGTAGCTCGTACCTTATATATAGTTTCTTGATTGTCTAGTCATCCCATGTTATGTATGTTCATGCCATCATATTTTATTGTTGGTTGTCCATGACCCATGTGTACCATTTATATTGATCTTGTCAGCCCTAAAAGATAATAAAGAAGGTTAGATAAAATGTATGTTGGTGCTCGGTAAGTATGGCCGGGTGCTAGTCATGGCCTCCGGTTTGGGTCGTGACAGTTATGTTATGGGACTTGTTGGTATGTTCGTATGGGTCCCGAGGGGCTCGGGTGAGTTTCGGATATGTTTGGGTTGTGTTGTGCTCGTTTTTCTTATGTTTCGACGTCGTTTCTTCAAGCATAAATGGTACCACATTGAACAAATGAGCTCTGACTTCTCTTTTGATTGAAGCATTAGATGCGTATCATAATTACGGAGCCATAGAAAAAAGAATCGCCGAATTTGGACATCGTATGAGGATTTTACGGTCATTTTACTAAGAATTGGGTAGCCAGATTTTTTAGATTAATTACGAAATTTACACTGACTTCGTATTAAATCTGCATTATTTTCAAATATTGAATCCAACATATCTCCTTCATTATAAGGTCAAATGAAGTGATTCAAAAGCCTAACTTGACTGAAATTTCACATTGGAGGCATAGAGAGTTTCGGGATCATTTGGCACATAAAACAAGGCAGAATAGCTAGGCATAAATACTTAATATCGAAGGTTTGTTTATTTGGTCATATTTTGAGTTGGGGATCTCGGATTTGGACAATTTTTGGAGGCGATATTCATCATATGGATTGGAGTAAGTGTTCTATACTCTATTTTGGTTATATTTCATGAATCCGTCTTCGTTTTTGGCATTTGATTGATGATTTCAATGTGAAATTTGGGGGGTTTTGTCTAATATTTCATAAAGTGAATTTTTGAGTTTTGAACATCGATTCGGAGTCGGATTTGAGTGAAACTGGTATGGTTGGACTCATTTGAATGGATTGTCGTATTTTGTGAGTTTTGTCGGGTTCCAAGGTGCGGGCCTGGATTTGACTTTTTGGTTGATTTTGGAATTTTGATTAAAGATTCGACATTTCTCAATTGGGTTTGTTTTCTTTGCCATTATTTGATGTATTTGAGTTGCTTTTGGCTAGTTTTGAGCCGTTTGGAGGTGGGTACGCGCGGGATGGTATTTTTAGAGCACCGTTTAGCTTGCTGGGTATTGGATTTGGCTTGTTCGAGGTAAGTAACACTTCTAAACTTGGTGCTGGGGGTATGAAGCCCTGAATTACGTGTTTTGTGTTTGGTGTTGAGATGACACACATGCTAGGTGACGGGCGTGTGGGCGTGCACCGTGTGAATTGTGACTCCGTTATTACTGTGGTACTGTGTAGTTACCTGATCTTATCTGTAACCATGAAATTTCTACGTACTTGAGCTATTGAGCTGTGATCCATGTTAGAAACCATGTCTAGGACACATGCTTATCCTATTGGGGCCTACTGAGGTCATTTCCGCTGTTGAGTTATCTGCTTTCATTTCTTTATATAGTCAATCATACACATTCATATACATATCATATCTCAGTCTGTGTTACCATTTATTGACACATCATATCATCATTTTGGGCTAGTTTCATGACATTATGAGCCCGAGAGACTAGAGAGATTGATGAATGAGTGAGGTCGAGGTCTTGATTACAAGTGACATTTATGGGATCAGGCTGCACGTTGTAGCGGTTATACTGGTTTATGATGGTGCTTGGGCTGAAGGAGCCCCTACGGAGTCTGTACACACCCTTAGTGAGCCCGGTTGATTATATTGAGGGATAGAGCTTATCACGCCTCGAACCCGGGCATGGACGTAACACGACACTCGGTGCCTGACTACATGCGACCGAGCGAACCAACTAGCTGGCTGAATCAACATGTGATATAATCACATACTGAATGCGGAAGATAAACTAACACATGCTGATATACTGAAAGTCTGGATGATATAAATCAAAGTGTGGAAATACTAATACAATTCTGAAACATATTGGTAGCCACCATAGCTTAATATGAAAAACATGCGACTCTGTCTGGCTGTTACTCTAGTCTGTGAAGCCTCTAATGAAGTACTGAAAACACTGATTGTCTGAAAATACTGAAGACTGTAAGGTAATGATAACACCTCGAAAGAATTGGGGATCACCAAATAGCTGGTACGAGAATCCTAGCGCTCTGAATCGTCAACCTATAAATCATTACCTGCATCGTGAGATGCAGGCCCCGAGCAAAAGGGACGTCAGTACATTTGAATTGCACTGGTATGTAAAGCAACTGATGGAAAGAATTATAAATGTTGAAACTGAAACTAAGCCGATAACTGACATGATAACTATTGAAACTGAGAATGAAATGATAACTGATAACTGAAATTGTGAGCACGTGATATTTGCCCGACAAAAAAATACTACTACAAAGTCACAAAATAGATTTTTTAAATTTATTTTAAATTTTATAGAATTTTTAGGAATATATTGGTAATTGTTGGTCGCATTTAGTTTCATATTTAATATTTAAAATCATGAAAAATACAAAAAATATTTCATGCATCGCATTTTAGGTCTCAATTGCATTTAATATATAAGAAAAAATCACAAATAATATTGGTTCGTTCTTGCACTTTAGTTTTAATTGCAAATTAGTAATTTTTCTTTCATTAGTTTTAGGTTAATTAATTATTTTAATACTAGAAATAGATAATTATTTTAATTCTACATATTAGATTTTATTTAGGATTTAGTTAAGGTTTTAATTTAATTTTATAAGTTAAGAAAAAAAAAGGAAAGAAAAATCAAGAAAAAGGGAAAAGGGGCTGTCTCAACGTTTGGGCTTAAATTTCCCTTAGCCCAGTTTTGCTTCAACCAGCCCCAGCCCAGCTCCCCATACCCGGCCCAGCCCCCATTAAATCCTAAACGATGCCATTTGGCTCCATTTAATCCCAAGCGTTGATCTTCGAACGGCTGGGAACTAACCCCCCATATCCCTTATTACTGTGCGAACCCCCCCCCCTAAACCTAAGACCAAACTTCATTCTTCTAATCTCCTTCACACCCTCTCCCAAACCCTAGCCGCCCCAATTCTCCAGCCCTTCACCACTAGCCACCGCCTGCCGGAAATCGCCTCACGGCGGCGCCGCGCTCCAAGCTCACCCAAATTAACACCATGCAATCCCCTCTTCCTCCTCATCTCATATCTTGCCTTTATTTCTTCCAAAATACCTCAGAAATCCCTAAATTTTAGATCTAGGAAACGGCCAGTTTGTCCAAATCTCTTGGTCCGTTATTTCCTCAGCGCCTGGGTGTAAGGGGGTTCATCTGTATGTGATGTGTTGTTTTCCTGGCTGCTTGGACTCTCATGAGTCTTTTCTTCCAAGAAAATTCGGTCAAAACTCCATGCAAGGCCGGATTCCTTGGAGGAAAAAACCCTTGGGTGGTCGATTGGCGTGGAGTAGGGCGTCGTAGACTTTCTTACATTTTTTTACCCATAAACGTTAAAAGATTTTCACCACTGTCTTCTCTGTCTTTCCTGTTTGAATCAGTGACTTCCTACTCTCTTTAGCTTGTTAAATTACTTGTTTTTCGTTTGAGAGTCATTCATTTCAATCTTCTAGTCATGTTTAATTAGGTTTGTTCTAGTTTATTAGTTATCAATTTGGGTTAATCCAAGCCTGTTTAGATTAATTATACAAATCATTTTGTTATCTCACTAATTAGTTGTTTTGCTGAATTTGAAATTACTTGATAAGTTGTTTGCCTAATAATTAATTAACTAGGGTTTAGAGTATGATTTTAGCTCAGTAATTTCAGTTCAACTCTGTTTGGTATCAATTGGAATTCGGGGGTTTAAAAGGGTCATAACAGAACTTTAGGGGGGTCAATTGTAAAGTGAAAAATGGGAATTCAGATAAGGCATTAGGAAGTTTCTAGATTTTGGACAGTTGTCGCAATTTATTAATGAAAAGATGCTGAATTTGAATAGAAATGGATAGCTGTCCATTTTCTGTTTTAAAAAAGATGCTCTTTTCCTAATTTTTAGGGTTGGCTGTAGAAAATTATTCTCTTATCCTTAGGAGCATATGGTAGATTTTATTCCCTATATATAGGACCCTCCTCTCTCTCAAAACACACGTAATTGAGACCCTTAAATCCTCCCTGAAATTCAATCTAAGAAAAAGCCAAAAAAGAAGAAATATTTCTGAGTTGGTTTCATGTCCCTATTCTTGGTCTTCATTTGTTCTGTATTGTTTGGAGCTGGGTCTATCTCTAGACCTTCTGGTTTTCTCCTGCTGGCCGGGTCACTGATTTAAGTCTGAAGATTATTTGATCCTCTGTTGCTGTTGTATTATTGCTGGTTCCAACTTATTTCACTTTCATTTGGCATTTTTCTGAGCTGTTTTCTACACATCAGGTACTGAACTATGAATTCAAGCCAAACTTGTCAAATGTTGATTATTTTGTTTAGTGTGTAATGAAGCCTGAATTTCTGATGTGATATGTAATTTATTTCTTTATAAATCTGTTTGCTTGTCGAGTCTGTTCATCGCTGTTCTCCTGCTGGCATCAGTTCTTCGTTTGATTTGGCTTATTCGACTGGAGTGGAAATCGAAACTGCATTAGTTGTTACTGATATTCACTTGTTATATCAAAAGCATGCTAAATAATCAATATCTGAACCTCTTAATTGTTGAGTTTATAAAAATTGGAACTAAGTTTGTAATACTGATGTGCTAAACATGAGAATGGAGGTCTTTCAGGAGGCAGGAGGAGTTCATGTGATAAATGCATGTTTAGTTACTAAAGCATGGAGATTTAGCATAAAGAAAGTGAGATGTTGTTGTGAGCAGAATTCAATCGAGATTTCAGTTCTATAATGTAAAAGTGATGGATTATGTATTAACAGTTAAGATAATGTTTTGAGCGACCATGTATTCAATTTAGAAATAGCGTGTAATTATTCTCACATTAGCATGTCATGTATTAGTCCTTTTCTTTTCCTTGTGGTTTGAACTAGTAACTGCAGAAGTTCAGATTGTAATGAATGAGTCCAAATGGGCCTGTCTAGGATACACTAATAGGCCCAGCCTGCTGTTTAAGCCCATCTGAGAGCTTGTAATCCGTCAAGCTAATTACATAGGTTGGATTTGAATTGATTTAAGCAACTAAGGGATAATGGAAATTAAAATGAGGTTTAGGTTCTCCTGTTAGGCTACATGATATTTGACTAATTCAGTTAATTGTTGATTGTCTAGCTTTCCTAGGCTGCTGAACTTGAACCTTTAAGGTTGGGTTCGAATATAATTAAATAAATTTGGGCTTAATATGAATTTGTTATATTTTATTCTTGTCTTAGTCAATTGAAGCGTTAGAATACATTAGGGATGTTATAAATTCAATAAATTATCGTAATTGTGTACACGTCCGCGTGACTTGACTATGACTCCTAAAAATAAACTAAAGTATGCGTTCGCGCAACTTCGGCCAAACTTTTCTTAATATTAATAAAGCGTGATTAATTGTGGACACATACGCGTGATATGATTCTTGACGCGCCAAACGAAATGAGTACCCGTACGCGTGACTCGTTTAAAGATAACTCCTTCATTACGAATAATCAAGCAATTAAAAGCGGTTAAAGGGGTAAATGCACATAGGTTTTAAAATAAGTAATTAAAACGATTAGTTAAGCCAGGTATGATTAAAGCGACCGTGCTAAAACTACGGAACCCGGGAATGCCTAACACCTTCTCCCGGGTTAATAGAATTCCTTATCCGGTCTTCTGTGTTCGTGGACCATAAATAGAGTCAAACTTCCTCGATTCGGGATTTTAAACCGGTGACTTGGGACACAATAAATTATCCTAAGTGGCAACTCTGAATCTGAATATAAATAATCCCGTTTGTCACTTAAATTTGAAAAACTCCCTATCCCCTACGGGAAAAAGGAGGTGTGACAGAAATGATAACTGATAACTGATAACTGATAACATATAACTGAACTGATAATTTATAACTAAACAAAGGAAGTAAGGATATGAATACTCCCTCTTCTGAATGATGAACAACCTGTTTATCTGAATAAGCTACGGCATCGGGCCCAATACATATGTGCACAAGCTACGGCCTCAGGCCCAAGTATACATATACATAACTACGGCCCAGGCCCAAAAATGCATAAAGCATATACTACAGCCTCAGGCCCAAACATGCATAAAGCATAAACTACGGCCTCAGGCCCAAATACAGGTGTTCAACGTTCAGGGATTTAAATTCAAGAACTGAGAATCATACTGCAATATATGATGCGGAAATACTGAATCACATTGAGTTACATGATACTGGAATACAGAATAGGACTAGACTAAGACATGTATTCATGAACTGATTATGAGAACTTATGCTTCAACTGTTTATGACATGCTGGTAATCTAAATTGAGACTCACGGGAATTAAACACAAGTCTATATATTGATTACGCACTGAGCTCACAACGTTCGGAATGGAAGTCGTGAACGAATTATGAAGCTAGAGAATAGAAGTTGTGCAACTATTCAAGAAACTAGGCTTAACTATATTTCTGAGGCAATTAGTAACGCCGTAAAAGAAACGTAGTATAGGGAGAATCATTAAAATTTCCAAACATAGAGAGTTAGCCTCAAATACCTTAACTTTCTGCTCTTGAGCGTAATACAACATTCACCAACCCCTTTCAACTTTAATCTTTATCAATACAAGTCAAAGGGATTTAATATTAGCAATAATACTCATGTTTTGTTCACTTAGGCATTTTCTCAAATACTTGGTGGCATAAAGCTTCATAATCCTTATTAATGGTGTTTCTACACCCAACAAGCCATTCTCTTGCTCCTAGATAAATTCTGAAATCTCAAATTTCTTATAATCAAAATCGTTCTTCTTCACCAATAAGATATACAACACCCTTAACCAATAATGAACAATCAACAGACAAAACCTATAATTTCATGTTTTTCTATCAAACCGATCAACTCCTATATCATGAACATAGAGTCTATAATCATTAATCCAATGGTATAATCAATTAGAGGGTGAAGACATTACCTTTTTGAAGTTCAATCCTCTTGAATTCGAGTTCTAGGGTTTCCTCTATCAACAATGATGCCCCAATCGAATATCTAATGATTTGGAACATTTACCCATGTTAATAAGGTGGTTAGGAATTGAAACCAACTTAGAATCACCATTAGAACTTACCATGGATGGTGGAGGGATCTTTGAGGAGTTAGGTTCTTTAGAGCTTCCCTTTCTAGAGCAAGTTTTTGTTTTTTGGGGTGTGAGGGACGAAGTAGAGCTTTAAAAATGACCTCCCGGGTATGCCCCAGCACACCTAAAGGCCCGACCGTGCACCTGGACACGCAAAATGGCAATAGCACTGCCATAAGTGCGCGGCCGCGCACGTGGCCATCTGGGCGCGCACCTGGGCACGCATATTGCGCACTGCTCTGTAAAATGCACATAACGTTTTGCACAGAGATCCGTTCGGGCTCCACAATATTTCGTTGGAAGGCTATTTCAAAGGGTACAACTGTCTTCTTTTGTGTTTTCCCAAGTTCCTTACACATTTTCACTAACACCTGCTGAAAGACGGACCTTTTGTAAACTTTATGGATTTTTTCAAATCTTATGCACCTCACTCTCCATCTTGATTCTAAAACAATTATTTCCACGCATACTCATCCCAATAGAACTTTACATGTCTAAAATGTAACATTACTACTCATTTAACACGTCCATACCTAAGCCAAATTTACGGGGTGTTACATTATCTCCCCCTTGGGATCATTCGTCCTTGAATGATTGTCCTGACTGTAACTTCGGCTAACTCCGGACCTTAAACGGGTCTGGTGGGATCATGAACTTCATTAACAGTTGCATACTAAATTGAATGAATACATGATTACTGAACTGTTGAGATAGTGAACTAAATGACTACCGCATTGACTAAATATTGGTCTGCCATGGATACGTTAATACTAAACTAATATGGATATATGAATATTGAATTGGCACGAATATTTGAGTATTGAACTAACATCATTATCTAAGCATTAAGCCGGCATGAATATCTAAGTATTGGACTGACATGAGTAGCTGAGTATTGAACTGACATGAGTATCTGAGTACTGAACTAACATGAGTATCTGAGTACTGAACTGACATGAGTAGCTGAGTATTGAACTGACATGAGTATCTGAGTACTGGAACCTTGAATGTGATAACATGACACGTGAAATACTGGCTGTACCACCGCTAATTCTGGTGGCAACTCCAACTCATAAGCTAATTAACCGATCCTTCACAAGATTCTATTTGGCCCAATATAGCAGAGACTAAGCTTCCCATTCTTCCCAAATCTCATAACGCCTTTCATAGGCGAAACTTTTAGAAACACACAATCATCAACTTGAAACTTTAGGTCTTTATTCCGCACGTTCGAATAGGACTTTTGATGGCTCTGAGCCATCTTCAAATGCTCTTGAATCAACTTAACTTTCTCCATAGTCTGAGAGACCAAATTTGGTCCAAACAACTCCTCTCCACTAACTTCGAACCAACCAATTGGCGATCTACACCTTCGCCCATACAGAGTTTCGTATGGTGCCATCTTGGTACTAGAATAATAGGTGTTATTATTAGAAAACTCAGCGAGAGACATGTGATCATCCCAATTGCCTTTAAAATCAAGGATATCCTCAAGTGCTTGAATAATGCGCTCTGCCTGTCCATCTTTCTGAGGATGGGAAACTTGTGCCTAATCTTTTCTAAAAGAACTTCTAAAAGTGCATTGTAAACTGAACACCACAGTCCGAAATGACGGACAATGGAGTCCCATGCAACCAGACGATTTTCTTAATGTATAACTTGGTATAATCTTCTGCTGAATCTGTAGTCTTTACTGGCAAGAAGTGTGCTGACTTGGTAAGTCGATTTACAATCACCCAATCAAATCACGCTTTCAAGATGAGCAAGATAATCCTGTTATAAATTCCATATTTTCCATCTCCACTCAAAATATGCATAAACTATGGTAAAACACTGGGCTTTCTGTTGCTCGACTTTTATTTGCTGATACTTTGGACACTTGGCCACAAAGTCGGTGATCGACGGGGATGTAACGCACCGTATTGGGGTAGGGTGGATGAAATGGAGGTTAGCGTCTGGAGTCCTGTGTGACAAGAAGGTGCCACCGAAACTCAAAGGTAAGTTCTATAGAGTGGTGGTTAGACCAGCCATGTTGTATGGAGCTGAGTGTTGGCCAGTCAAGAATTCACATATCCAGAAGATGAAAGTAGCAGAAATGAGAATGTTGAGATGGATGTGTGGGCACACTAGGCTGGATAAGATTTGGAATAAAGATATTCGGGAGAGGGTGGGCGTGGCTACCTTGGACGACAAGATGCGGGAAGCGCGACTTAGATGGTTCAGACACGTGCAGAGAAGAAACCTAGATGCACCGGTTAGGAGGTGTGAGCGGTTGACTTTGGCAGGTACGAGAAGAGGTAGAGGGCGGCCTAAGAAGTATTGGGGCAAGGTGATCAGGCAGGACATGGTGCAGTTTCAGATTTCCGAGGACATGGCTCTTGATAGGAACATGTGGAGGTCGAGCATTAGGGTGGTCGACTAGGGGGTAGTTGAGAGTTCCTCCCTCTTTGTACCTGGTAGTCTGATAGAGTTCTATTTAGGTTTGTTAGCGGTCTATGTTGTGTTCACATTGTTGTTTTGCATAGTTTTGTGTTATTGTCCTTTCAGTAATTCGTTATTGGTATTTTTCTTTCTGGCAACTTTTGTTGTTATGAATATTCTCTTGTTTCTTTTCTGATATTATTGTCTCTCCTATTGAGCCGAGAGTCTCCCGGAAACAGCCTCTCTACCCGTTTTGGGGTAGGGGTAAGGTCTGCGTACACTCCACTCTCCCCAAACCCCACTAGTGGGATTTTACTGGGTATGTTGTTGTTGT